GGCAGGCGCGCCCGGTCTCGAGTGGGCCGCGCCGACATGCGGGGCGCCCCGGCCGGGGGTCACGGTTGGGATCATTCTTGCCCCCCCCCCCCCCCACCTTTGTACTCTGCTGGTGTTCTTCCCCACATCCCGGGCAAAGGCCGCGCGCATATTTCACACAGGCAACTGCCCCCGGGCGGCGAAGCGATCGGACTGGCTGTCGCGGGTCATGTAGCCCACAACTGAAAAGACCACCCACAACACTATTCTGTTCTGGATCACGGCGTGACCTCGGGATCACGCGCAAAGGGAAATAGCGATGCCAAGATCTGGTATCCCAGCTGCGCCCCCGCTTGCCGCTCCCTTGCTTGTGCGCGTGCGCGCGCGTGTGTGCGTGGTCCTCTTATGGCAGCATCGGAACATGTGGCCGGAGCGGGGCGAGTCCTGGTCGACGAGCTATGCGGGCGTGTGGGGGGTTCCCTCGCGGCCAGCATGAATGTGGGTGGGCCTGCTGCTGGCTGGTGCCCGGCCGGGGGGGACACACACGCGGTCGGAACCACAGCCGCCGCCGACGCCGCCGCCGCCGCCGCCACTTCTGAGCCATGGCTGCCACGTTCCAGCCCGTGGCCGCGGGCGATCTTCCTGCGCGAGGAGCATCGACTCATCGGGCCGAGCATTGGCATCAAGCGTCGCGACCAAGATCCGCCTCAGCCACTGCCGAGCGAATTGGTCATGAGGGGGGGGGGGGCGGCCGCGGGAGAGGGCCTGCCCGCCACACATGGCTCCGGGAATCTGGTCAATCGGCCGGCCTCTGCCAGGGGAGGGGGACAAGACGCGGCAGGGTCTGCGCGCCACGGCCCACGTTGGGCCCCAGGGGTGCGGGGGAGGCGGCGCGAGGGGTTTCGCAGGGAGAGGGGGGGGGGGGTTGGTGGCCCAGAGGTCTATCAGAGGCCTTTGGGCCGGACGGCGCCCCGGGTGCCGCGTCCTCTTCTCCTGATATTGGCCTTTTGTTTGCGTGTATGCGTCCCTCTCGCTCCGGCTTCGTCCCCCCCACGCCCCATCCGGCCTCCCTTGCCTGTTGCTGATCCCTCC